CAAATAGTCTGTTGAGTCATGTTCTTATCTTTTGGTGCGCGGAATTGAGGGTAGACTTAACAGTGAAAGAAAACAGAACAAACTAAAAGTTGTATTTCCGAATAGCTGCTTGGAACACAGACGCTGGTTGAGTAATGTGAAGGACATAGAAATTATAAAAAACGAAACGAAATTAGTTTTGTATTTAAATCAGATTGGAATTGTTTAAAACTATAAGTACATGTATCCTAATTATGGGGAACACTCATAAAATTAATCTACCTTTCCTTCAATTAAATTGGCAATTTAGTCACTCTGACTCACACATAACAAACTTCATATTTCAACCTATACATTTCCAGGAAATTGGAATTTGGCAATGGAACATCGAAAGTGCCGCTTAAAACACCCCAAGATTGAATTTTTCCACCACTCTCTGCTCTTTTTTTTAAAAATATCTTGCCTGAATTGGAAGGGGAGAACAAGATATAGACAATACAAGCAATAACTGAGTCATCAATAGATATTGTAAGTAAGCCTATCCATCCCTCATCTTTTGAATAAAATCATCATTATACATGTTACATATTCTATATCTCTGATAATAAAACATTTTACACATGAAGCTAACATAAACCAGCTCTATATTTCTATAACAGTATGTCCATATTCAAAATACTATGATTGATTAATGTTTCCTGGGATCAGAATATATCAGGACATACCAGTCATTATCAACTGTATATGATTTATTAAAATTGAAGGGAAAAGTCCACTTATTTATTAGAGATCAGCTTTGTATACATCTTAGAATAAAATGAAGAATAAAAATCTATGGGCTTGAATGTCCAGTCAACTCTCAGCGGTAATACAGAACTTTTACATGTAAGCTTACATTTGTGTGTAAGCAATGCAAAGAGAATATGTTATATATGTATGTACCAGTCATTATGCTGTACACAGAGCTATTTGTTTTAATAATTCATTCTGTATAACTGAACACATTTCATGCCATGGCCACTGCATAAAATATTTCTAATTTGTTCCTTGGGTACACTGTAAGGCATGTGAAAAATGCAAGTGTTGGTTTATAACAATATTATGCTATATTCTATTTCACGCTAAACCTAACTGTATGCAATATTCAGACAGGAATAATAGTTTAATGCCTTGAAGATACATGAGGAACAAAACACCTATCACTCCGGTTGTCGATTTATTTAATAAACACTTTGTTCTAGACTGAAAGTATTATCTCTGAATTACAGTGACATAGTCAAGTTATTGAATTTTGATCAACCATAACTTGTAGTAAAAGAAACCTTGACAATTTGAATTCAATGACGAGTTGGTGAAAACATAATGTTAAGGAAAAATTCCTATACTCAGCACTGCACATATCAGCATAGAAAAAATAAATAACATAAATTAAGTTTCAAAATGACCAAATTATTGTGCTGAAGAGACATTAAAATTCTTCATAATAAGACCCAATTTAATTAGGCTGTTAATCAATTTGATTATGGTCTTGTCAGACAGCAAATATTTCATACTGCAGTTAATTGCAAAATTTTCCTGTTTACAGTATATAATAATACATTGATGATAGATATGATGGATCAACAAGCATAATTAATAGATCTTTGCTGTGATCATAAAGCATGGGATGACCCTAACAACAGCAGACTTGTCTCAAATGTTTTTTGCTTCCAAATCTTTACCTTCTACCTTTTGAAATGGAGTAAAATTTTAATTTATTTTTTCTTAAAGACCTCATAATAATTAACAAAATAATTCATCAAATATTGATATAAAATCATCCTAAAGATGTCAGACAAGTTATAGTGTAAAATCAATATGAATCTAATCAAATCAATTCCAGCTTTGTGTCTAGTCTTTTACAATTTCTGTAACTGACAGATTTTTCTGATATTTATTCCAATCATAAAACATTATAATCATAAGTCTATTGAAACTTGACTCCCCCCTGACATATTCATTCTACAATCCTTAGTTTGTGATGTCATTTGCCATTTCAAAAACAAACAAAAACTTCAATTCAAGATGGAATCATTGAAAACTAGAAATATACAACTGATGAATACCAGTATATATATCTAGGTGCAAACAATAGAGGTCAAGTTTACACATTGATTTTATTTTTTGATTTTTGTTTATTTCAAATTAAATCTTGATTAAGCAATAAGAGTATGTTTCAGCATGGATTAAGCCATGACAAATGCAAATAATGATCAGCGGCTTTAAGTAAATTCCATTATTAATACCCAGTTTTTAATTATTAATTTGTTATACTATTCACCATAACAACTATCCATTCTTAACTAATATATATTATAAAGTCTCAAGTACTACTTTTAAGAAAGGAATACATGACACAAATTTGTTTTTAACTTGGTATTTCCTGCATAACAAAACTTGGTTGGTAATCCTCTCTGGCAATTGTTTACCGTGCTCCCACAATTGTTTACCACTTCATAAAAAGTGCATCAATTATCTATCTCTGACTATGAAATGGATGGAATGTCTGAACCATTGGTCTGTGGTAAATTTTATTGCCCATCTTGTTTTAGTTATCTGAAATTATCCAGATGAGGTACACTGTGGCTTGCCAGGTTGCTGGTCAATATGGGCTTTCCTTGAAGCCATTTGACATAATCACTTACATAAGGAACAATTATAATTTTCAAAAAAAATTTGATTACTTAAATTCATATTCAATGTAAAATGTAGATTGGGTTAGAAAAGCATCTTTTCTGGACGTGGTTGATGACCTATTGAGTAACAGCTTGTTAAGTTACAAGTCTTTTATTCTGTGGCCAAGTTCATGTTAATGAGCCATAGTGGCTCAGTGAGTAGATGTATGTTGCTCACTATCCAGGAGGTCCTAACTTCATACCATGTGTCCAGAACACTGGACCTGGTAACGAATGGCATTTAGTCAGTCATATGGGACAAAAAATTGGCAAGCAGGGGGAAACACAAATGTCAGGGCAAAATTTCCCTCATATTACACTGCATGACATACGCCTCTCTTCATTGGTCTAGATGGTAAAGAAGAGTAGTATGTTAGATCCAATTTTATTTTATTTTAATTAAAGATACATTATGGGAGATTTGATAAAGAGCTGGCAGTTCTCACTATAATAGTTACCCAGCGGCTGCCATGCAGGATACGCCCACATTTTTCAAGAGATGGATAGAGAACCAGCTAAACAAAATAAGCTAAAAACACGATTTTTCGTACAATCAAGAGCCATAATCCATGAAGTTACAGTCCGATACATGCCAATATCAAAAGGAACCAAGATCTTTGGGAGATAAACCTATATTTCAAGTTTCGTTGAAATTGAATAAAAAAATTGTGACCTGTAGAGTGTCCACAAACAATTGTGTACGGACGTCCGGGCGTATAAAAACTAGATAATGTAAAGGGAATTTGCTAAAAAGTTCAGTCAAATTAATCCACTGTGGACTGAGAATTTAATGATTGAATTTTCATCCTAGCCTCGGTCATCATTACTAAAGTCGGTTCAATAAAGAACATAGTCTCGATTATCCACTTTTTGATTTAATCATCAATGAGCGTTGAGCAGCAAATCTGATTCAAATCTAGTAAATATCGCAGGCTAGCGATGCCATCGAAAGTTGATTATGGCCTGGATCAGCCTAGAGAAACACCTGCAATATGCAGATTTAGCTCTTGCATAATGTGTTTTCAATAATCAGTGTGGTCAGTAGTAATGAGAAACACTACCCACCTGTTGTTGTCTATTATTAAAACAAAAGGGAGATAAGGTTAGGAGAAAATCATCAAACAATTAGCTATGTGAGGGAACGAATTAACCGTGATGCTAATGTGCCCTGGTTGATCCATTCTCTCACATAATGGACCGTTTTTGGTTTCTCTTCATTACATACTTGAGGGGAACAAGAAAAAGACGTTTAATTTCACACAATATCAGAACAAACTAGTCAGTGCAGGAGTAACGCAATACACACAAACAAAACTAATATGACAAACCTGTCGACAAGACACAAACTACACCAACATTACAAGCAATAAACTTGTGACAAGGATAGACAGGCAACCCTTTTCCTTGACGTTAAAAATGTGATGTCATCTGATTAGCAGAAATTTTAACAAACAGTTTTCATAATAACAAAATAATATGGATATCATCTTGAAAATAACGTTTAATCTCTTGAACAACCTTTGTTCTATAAAATACCATTACTACAACTTTTGTAATAAGTAAAGTAAACAAATTGTTTAGCTTACAACATGATAAATATGTTAAACTCTATTTCTAATTAACACAGCCATCCATTGATGTCTGGTTCTGGCCACTGGGAGAATGGTTTAAGAATGTGTACATCATTATAAAGGACTATTTGTTTGATTTATAGAATTGTTCTGTCAGTATTGCACCTGTACCATTATAAACAGATTCTATCTTAATTACCTCTATTGATAATTCTTTATCCTCAGGTATAAGCTCAAACCACATTCACATTATATTAAGTGTTGCAGAAGGTCAAAAATTCTAAATAGTTAATAGCACAAGAGTACCTCAAGAGGTCAGAAATGCTTAGTTAAAGGCCCACACCTAGTTCCCCGTAGTATAAGAAAACCACTGGATTGAATTCCTAATAATTGTTATAAACATATGTATGTGTGATCTAATGTATTTCAGAATATTTTTGAAAATTGGCCAATATTCATTATTAGCGCTTTTAGATACCCCCAGGGAACTGAAATTCTTCATATGAACAAATCTAAAATGAGTATTCAAATGGTGTGCACAGGCACTAAGTAGAATATGGACACTTTTAGATTATACTAAAATCTACAGACCTGACACAAGTTGTTAATGAACTCTATGCTAGTAAAATCTGATTGTGACAGCCAACACTTTACAATTCCCATAATGTCCATAGATAGAAAATAAACTTGTTAAACCTTCACAATGAAAACAAAATGTATATGTAAAGATACTTACCATTATCATAACAAATATTACCAAGAGCTCTACAAGACTGGGTTGGTAACGGTAGATAATCGCTTGTCAAAGATTTCAACAAGGGGCTTATAAATCCCAAATCAACTAAAGGCTGTCTTAAAGATTCTGAAATTAATCATACATGTTGTGTTTACTTACAGTTTTAAAGCTGAATACACAAAAGACTTACAATATTGAAAGGGGGGGGGGGGCGGGGCATTTCTTTCAAGGCATATTAAAACTATTACTGATATGCCATTTCCAGGTTTGTATTTTTATCCAATGAAATTAATTCTTGCCCTTTCTGTGGGGTAGCAATATTCTAATTAACCACTTAAATCTTTCTTCCACCACAACTGCACATGTTTGTTATTCCATAACTATTACCTGTTGCCTTGTTTTATGTTCAGTTACTGTTTAATCTTCGTTTCAGTTGCACACATTACCTTCCTCGGATTAGCTTGAAAGTGCAGTCTATAAAGACTCAGTTGACTCATCTTTTATCCCTACCAGTTAATAATGTTGTCTTTTTTGGTACCTTGCAGTAAGTCAAATACGAAAAGTGTGGCAGAACTTTTGCTTGATAAGATTTCCTGACCTTTTGTCCCAACCAGTCAATGTGACAATAAATATGAAACCCATGGACTCTTACTATGTAACCTACCTAACTTTCAGAAGATTTGATACCTTTAGCCCCTTGGGCTACAACAATATTCAACCACATTTCTATGTGGGTATATAAAAACAATGTATTTAATCAATATTTTAATTTTATCGTTATCATTTTAGCTTTAAAACAGATCTCCCAAATAGATCACATTTTGCTGTTATCCATACCTGATTTTGCCAGTTCAGCAATAAGTTGAGCACATTTTGCAGATAACTGCGGACTTTTGGACTCTTCTAATAACTGTTTCATGTTTTCGAGTATACCACTGTCAACCAATAATACAGCAATATCTTCACTTTTTTCCTCTGAATAAACAAATATCAAGAAAATTATCGTTTATTCGTGAAAAATCAATAAACTTTTCATCTCATGAACATACAAATATCAGATCAATCAGATAATAACCACAGGGTACTTAAACTTACCTACCCAAAAGAAATAATAAAAAACATACCGAATGACATACTAAACAGTACATCTTAATTCTTAAACAGTATATTTTAATTCTTCCTCAAGAATTTTCTTTGAATAGAATATTTCTTTATAAATAAAATAATATGGTGATAAACACAGAAATGACCTACCATTTTCTGATACAAGTTTTGCTAAATTCTCTAGACATGTCTCTTTCTTCAGGTCTTCATCAGCTAACTTTAGTTTTTGTATTAATGGTACAAGCTCTTCTGAAAGGTAATTTAGTTACTTCATGTAACGTCTAGTTCATACTTTGAACAGATAGTTTATGTATTACAATCATCATACTAATAACATTAAATCTATGTTAAATCCCAACATCATATACTTAACAAAAGTAGATTCTTTCTAAATATTCTACAATTTTGTTTCATTGACACCGCCATCTTGGAACTACTCCAACCATGTCACAATAGCATGGTTCAGTAAATCAAATTCAGATTCAGTTAGTTCGACCATAGTCAAGAAATCACGATAACCGAAGTTCGCCCAAGTGGCAAGTGGTATAGTGTCTGCATTAGAGAGGCAAGACTATAAAAAATTATATTTATAATAATTTAAAAATGAATTTTCTAATATTAGAAATGAATGTTAAAAGTGAAATGATAATCTAATGACAAAATCAAATTAAAAAATAAATCATTTGTACTAAATGTCAATGTGTATTGCCTTCTGGTTCTAATGATTGCACCCCATCTTGACTATCTACTTTTTACATTTGAAGTAAATCTTCCAATCAGATTTCACACAATTAATATGAAAGAACAAATTTTTGCTTTCTTCAGCAATGTGAGCTTCTCTAATAAAAGATAGGTTGCCAGGCAACAAAACATACGCCCACAGCAGCTAAATCGTCCTAGCAGTCGACAAGGGTTGTCACATATTTATTCTTTTGTAGGTAATTACTAAATTAGGGGAATTTAATAGACAAAGAAAGTGATTTTTCCTACAATCAAGGGCATAATTCAGGAAATTACAATTCGATATGCACAAATTTCGAAAGTAACCGAGATCTTTGCGTTATAAACTTACGTTTCAAGTTTCAACGAAATCGGATAAAAATTGTGACCTCTATAGGGTCCACAACCTTGATATACCATATTTTTACGCTAATTGAGAACGAAGGGCGGCCATTTTGTCTGCCAGTTTTGGGCCGATTTTCATGAAATTTGAACTCAGCCGTGCTTAGTGTGTAACAGTGATATAATAATACGTTTTTTTAAATCAGATAAAAATTATGACCTCAATAAGGTCCACAAGCTAAAAACGGGACTTTTCGTACAATCAGGGACCATAATTCCGGAAGTTATGGTCTGATATGCGTGAATATCGAAAGGAACCGAGATCTTTGAGTTATAAACTTACATTTTAAGTTTCAACAAAATCGGATAAAAATTGTGACCTCTATAGGTTCCACAACCTTGATATACCATATTTTTACGCTATTTGAGAACGAAGGGCGGCCATTTTGTCCGTCAGTTTTGGGACGATTTTCACGAAATTCGAACTCAGCCAACCTTAGGGTGTAACAGTGATATATTAATAAGTTTTTTTAAATCGGATAAAAATTATGACCTCTATAGGGTCCACAAGCTAAAAACGCGATTTTTCGTACAATCAAGGGCAATAATTCAGGAAGTTACGGTCTGTTATGCACGAATATAGAAAGGATCCGATATCTTTGGGTTATAAACTTACATTTCAAGTTTCAACAAAATCGGATAAAAATTGTGACTCTATAGGGTCCACAAGCTAAAAACGTGATTTTTCGTACAAACAGGAGCCATAATCCATGGAGTTTCGATCTGATACATGCCAATATCGAAAGCAGCCGAGATCTTTTGGGGATAAACCTATATTTCAAGTTTTGTCAAAATCGGATAAGAATTGTGACCCGTAGAGAGTCCACAAACAATTGTGGACGGACGGACGTCCAGACATACGGACGTCCGGACGGACAGCGACAATATACGTTCACATGAAAATGTGGGCGTATAAAAAGGGACGATATCGATATTGGCATTTTTTTCAACGATATAGTTAAAGATGGGTTCCCAGAAAAGTATTTATCGGGTGGTTATTTCCAATAAAAGTATGGCAATTTTGGTATATATGGAAAGTAGAGATATCCAATCTTACTAGAAAAATACTGGATTTCCCGAAAAACATTCATGGAGCGTATACAGGACTAAAATGTAAGGGTTCCCCTAATCAACAGCCCGACGATTAGGTTGTGGATAATCCGAGAATTTAATTAGGACATGACCTGGTTTGATCAAATTTTAATAGTAGGGCATTCCTTCGCAATTACAATGTTTCAGAAGGATTTGAAGCAAAATTATGACAAATTAATTAGTTTGAATATGTTTTTGGTCCATATATACCATTAAATCACCCAGTGACAGTATCTATTTATAGATCGTTTTATTTTTGCTTTCAGAAATTAAGTTTTGTAGAGTTTTCTAAAAATATATTTGTTTTTTAAAAATATGACAACCTATTTATAGCCTGGTAATTTGCAGCGGTAGTGGGAAATTTCAGGCGTTTAGTAGGCCTAAGCTTTACATGTAGTAACAACTGACAATTTATTGTGGACTAAAAACAAAGTAAAAGTAACGCATACACGATGCAGTGAAAAACGGCTGCGGACACTGCGCAAGTGTTTTCAACATTTAACGATTCTCAAAACATTAGTTTTATTATAGTTTATTGCCGTCGGCTAATTTCCACTGCTGTATAGTGTATTTATTATCTATTGTTATGATATTTTGTTTCGATATTTGAAGTTTTTGGCGATATTTGATAAACCACTAAATCGACGATTTTTGGACCCATGATATTGTAGTTGGGTCTGAAAATACTATATTGCGATAAATGACTATATCAAAATATCGTATAGCTCTAGTACGTACCAATGGTAAAATGTTTATTTTGTCTTAAATATTAGATATCGGAAGCCCATCTTTTCCCAGTAAGATTACAACATCAATGTTGATTTAAATTGACAAATAATTTGTGTTTTCAATGTCGAAGAATTTGGATGATATTCAGTTAGAGAATTAGCTACTTTAATCTCCTTTTTTATGACTCGGCAAAAAATCTGTACCTGAAGAATAGCTGATTGGCAGCTTTGTTTGATTTGTATTCTGACTCAATATTAAAATTAAAATCTAATTTGTTAATATCGGGCTGGTGTGTAGGCTTATAGTACACACCAAATTCAACTGTCAAATCATCTCAAAATGATAATGTAAAATGTAAGTTCTAGTGCATCTTTTTAATACCATATAATACACCTAATTTGCCCATTCATAGTCATGAACTCAATGTGAATGATCATGACGTAAATAATACTCATAAAAATTGGCTTATCCATACAATGATAATGATAATGTGTCTAAGTCTTACTCTTTTAGTCTTTTACACTTTTTTTTATAAGTCACATCAACACATTACTTGTAAGACTACACAGCCGGTGAGAAAACGAATAAATTTATGCATATTATACAAAATGCAATGGATGGAAACTTACCCATGTTCTCAATGAAGAAACCTTGAAACCAAACAATTTGGTGGCAGAAGACAGACTATTTCATGAAATGATCAATACGAGGAATAATCAGTGGGCGCTGCCATGACACCGGAAGTAAACTGTTGACGATAACACCTTCGACCGACACGTGCCCGATTTAATCTGGTATTGATACGTAAATAAACAATAACGGGCACGTGGCTTCTACTAATCAACCAGTTCAGCAGTTGGTCGTAATAAAAGTTAAACTGTTTCGTAATACTATAAAAATAAAGCATCACAAAGCGACTCAGAGCTGAAGAGCAAGAGGTCTCCGTGACCTAACACACGGTAATGAACTCTCCCTCTCGGCTCGCTTGCACTGCGAAGATAGTAGATTTTTAACATTTCGAGTTAGCGGTTTGTAAGGTAGACCAGCCCATAAATCGAAGTTGTCAGTGTTGAAAGCGCTGTTGTGTCTTCTTACCGAACTAAATTTGATCTGTGAATTATTTCGATTAGTTCGGATTGATTAAGTTATTCTGTCAGTAACTTTTTAAGGAATATTTTTCGAGACTTGAGAAAGTTTATTGCCGCAAAAGACAAGAGTTCCAACGACTTCTCTCTATAAACTTCTAAACTTGGATTACTTTGAACTTGATTGATGGCTTGTATTATGGTTAGAATATGAGTACTTATACAGTTGTCTTAAAAGGGGGATTACCTTGGGGATTTCGGCTTCAAGGCGGCAGCCGTGCCAATGACCCAATAATAATTTCAAAGGTGAGATTTGAAGATTTTTTATATACTTGTAATAGATAACTTATTTTACAGGATGTGCTCAATGAATGTCACATAGTCATGGATATCATCATTCATGGTTGTCTTCTTTATTGCACACTGCTTTGATAGTGAATCCCAACCCTCCCAGGTTGTGTTTTCTAGTTGCATACACCATTAAATGTCAAAATTCAGATCAATAAAATGTTTATTGTTGTACATGTTGTATTGTTGTACATGTTGTATTGTTGTATGAAACTTATCAATATGATAACCTACATGTACACAGTGGTTATACATTCATTGTTATAAATACATGATATTACTTCATGTAAAAACTGTTGTGTATGTCATATTTAATGACTTAATGCCCAGTATAAGTAGGCAACCCAATAAAGAATTATACAGTATTACATGTACATTGTACTTTTAAGGGACCTGTAATGTATAAAACTGGTACTAGAGAAATAATACATTATAAAATGATGAATATTTATTTCTTTTTTATTTTTGATATTTCATAAGTTTTGTGTAGTGTATGTAAATAGAAATATGCCCTATAATATGACAATATATAGAAATAATTTTAAAATTTAAGCAGGCATCCATTACCCAAAGACTGAATATTAATTCAAGTAGGCTTAGAAAATATTAATGTAAACTACATGTACATATAATCATAGATGATGTAATTCATTTTGAATGATTAATATATTATTCAAGAAAACTTTAGGCTTAACTTAATTATGAAAAGACTTAGCACTGACATATACCAGTACCCATAAAATTAAAAGTTAAAATGTGTATGTTAAATTTTGCAAATTTATTAATTTGAGCATGCTGTAACTAGAGTCAAATCATGTTGAAAAGAAAATTATTTGTTTACCAACTGACGCCAACCTCTGAAGCACTGATGCCAATTAGCCTTTTCAGTCCCATGCATAGTTTGATGTCATGGTGTCACTATCAAAGTGCAGGGTATGTTTTTCATTGACGTCATCACAAAGTGTCTAGTATACATGTAGAACTATGGCAGTCTGTGTACACATAGCACAAAAGACATGAGAGATACAGTAGACTGTTTATATAAAATATAAGATATAAAACTCCTGTCACCTCTCTCATTGTTTCCTCACTTAAAAAACATTTGGTCAAGTGGACACTTACATGTACGACAGGCCCCTGATTCTATCCACTTGATTTGATAATACTCTTGTTCATTATTGTTTGCAGTTCATTGTCTGTGTGTTTTGTTCGCAGGTTTGTCTTATGGATCTCTGTTAGTATGTGGTGTAGTTCTCCTACACTTTCTAGTAGAACGAGCCTTATGGTTCGCCAAACTGTTGAAAATGTTTGACATGTTGTGCATGTACCATTGAAAACTTGATACCAAACGGGTTGGATGTTAATGTACCATTGTCATAGTAGGGAACAGTGCAGTTATTTGAGGGTCACAGTTTTATACGGTTTTTATATTTGAGAAAAATCATCATAGATGGAAAATTAAAAGACATGTATTGGCCTTTTTATTTTGGGTGTGTGTTCTGTGCAAAATAGTCTAGCACCGACCCTGAATGCAAGTGTATTAATTTATAGCTTATAAATTTTTTTATTCTCGTATATCTTTCTGATAATATGATCAGATTAAATTTTGAATAGAACATTATTTGAATAAAGATAATTATGCAAATATTGATACACACCTGTAACTGAGTATTAATTAATTCTATATACAGTACTTGCTATTCTGAATTAGCTGAACAAATTGCCTTTCAGAGTTTGGGAAATACCAAGTTTAGTAAAATATTCTTTTTTTTATTGTAATACAGATGTAAATTGATATTTTTATTGTATACCGGTCATTAGCCAAGTCAGTGAAGAAACCACATTTCATTTCATTTATTATTGCATACATGGAGTAAAATAATTCCTAAAGCATAGCTATATTTATGATTAGTATCTTGAGGTGTTGATACATATACTTTAAGTTACCATGACTTGTTAACTTTATTTGTGTCATGCAAATTTATTACATAAAACTAGAAGTTTATACAAGAATGTCTTATGGTTTTTTTAGTAATAAAGTTGAAAGAACCTTTTCAATAATATTTGTCATATTATTCTCACAGATTATATAATTTTATTACAATACAAACGTTGTTATTCAAAGCCATTTTATAATTGTTATTAGTATGCCAATTCCCTCATTCTTAAGAGTACATAAATACCCTGTACTCAGTTCATTGTAAATATATCTATTAAATAGAAATAATAATAATTTGAAAAACTTTTCAATACAAACGAAACTAACCTGTTATTTTTTGGGGGGGCTTCAAATTTTTAAAAGGTTGAGTAAATTAGAGCATACTTCAAACTTTTTAAAATATAAATATGTCATGTCCCTTTAAGGAAATATTTGATTGAATGTTTATGATTGATGGTAAACTATGTAATGAATGTTTCACTATATATTTGATTTACAATCCATCATTGTGTCAAAAGTTACATCTATCTATACCTCCTTTTAGAACAGATTCACTTAAAGGGCATATTATTGCTCTATTCTTTGGAACCTTAAAATAAACAAAAAATGGGTCTAAAAGCCGATATATTATTGTAATATGAATGCATATAAAGTGATTTATATTCAATATTTAAAAAAATGATTGTAATTTCTAATCAAATACATGTATGTAAACTGTCCAAATTGAACAACATTTGTTTACGCCTGCTTAGTCCATTCTACATGTTTTTTTACTCTTAGTTTGTCATTTGTGAATCCGCCATTACTAATTACTTCTGCATTGTCTTGTAGAATACATATAGTTTATCTTTGTTCATTACAAATGACACCCAAAACCATAGAAATGATCAGGTGGGTGGGAGGTCCCTGTTCAGGCATGACTGACCACAGAGCCTGGTGAGGGGCATGTGGTGTTCTCCCCCAGGAAATATTTTCAACATTTTATTACTTTACATGTACACACATTGTAACATAATGTATTTATGCATGCAAAAAAAGTACAAGGTTTAATTTTATTTGAATCCCTGGTTTGACTCTTTATAGCAAACTATTCTGTGAATTCATGATTAATTTGATTTCTAGTGCAACATGTTTTTCTTGCTGAATAAACTATTGTTAGAATTTATTCTCAATAACCTATATCATAATTTCTGTTTGATTGTTAAGGAATGAGTGTTATAAGATAGATATGTACAATGTACATGTGTCAAGGTGTTACTTACAAATGTACATGTAGAGGTGTCTTATGTATTATACCATGGTGTATACATGGTGCTGTAATCTAATATGTGTTGACAGGTACATTTACATGTAGTGAGTCCACCACTCCTCAATTTGACCCATTTTCTAATCTGTTATTCAGTTACAGTAATATTTACTTTTTATTTTTTAAACAACAAAGATTACCAAATATAAATTTTATTACTTTAAACAAAAAATTCATCCACAATTGCTAAAATATTATGCGGGTGATATACATGTAGACTAAATAAGTAGCGAGGAAATGACAAATGAGGTTAAAGTTGTAGCATTTCCACAGACAATTTCGAAGTTAGCATGGACCAAGCTCTACTCCAGCCCCAATAAAATTGCAGTACAATTTTGTTTGGCATTCAGTGATTTAGGTACTTATTGTCAATGTCTGTATTATTGTGCAGTATAGTAAGAGTAATAGTATACCAAAGCGTATTTGGGCCAAGTAAATAATTGACAAATTCTGAATAAGTCCTAATTTGGAGACAGTAACTTCTAATTAGGAGATAGTAATGCCTATTTCGAGATATTAAATCCTGATTAGGACTTAATATCTCCTGATAAGTTCTTAATATTAGAGTCAAATGAATAAAAGAATAGCCTAATTAGGACTTAGTATCGATTTTCCCTACCACCTCCCATATTTGCGCCCCTGTGAATATCGACACAGTTTGTCCGCTCATGAGGCCAGTGTAGCCTCTATCGGGTTCAAGGGGTCTCTGCATAAGGTCATGGATGGTTTACATTGACAGAAAAAATCTGTATAAAATTGTAGTCTCTTCTCTATCATGTTCAATGTTTTCGACTAAGGGGTGCGTTGGGCGGCGTGATAACTCTGAACCGAAAGGCTGCGTGATAATGAATATAGATAGGCTTTTTTCCTCGCATGACCCCAATAAGTTAAATTTAGAAAGAAAATGGGCTTCTCAGCAAATGCGATCAACTCCTGAAGGAAGGTCACGCAAAGCTGAATTACACCAGTGCGTCAAACAAAATTTGAAAAATAATCCGTTAAAAACTGTAGCCTCTATCGCGTTTATGGCAATGAGTGTAACTCCGGAATGAAAATTAGCAAAACATTGACTATTGATAGGGGTCTCCCTCTCATGATCTCCGTGCTTAAATTAAAGAAAAATCACCTAAAATCGGTAGCATCTATTGCTTTTACAAACTTCTTTGCCTGGGGGACATCGATGGGGATTGCCCATTATGACCCCTTCGCTCACACCAAATTTTTAAAAGCAATCACTCTCACAACAACATTGTTAACAGAAGGATGGGTGGGTGAATGGACAGACG